GTGTGTGGTGCCGACGACCCCTGACTGGAAGGTGCTCTGACCAGCCGAGGCTGGTCGGCAGCCGACCAATTAAGGGGTGCCCACCGGTGGTCTGTGCAACTCTCCCTATATTTCTCCTCCTGGCCGTCATGCGCACATGCACACTATTTGTTTAGAACTTTAGACTGTGGTGATGGTCCCTGCTCTCGTCGTGGCTATACATTACCACGACTCTGCCTATACATTAACTGACTACAGAGACAAAGGCAAAAGGAGGAGCCTAACTTGTGTCATAAGTTGTGTAACTGTGTTGTGGCTCAGTGGTGCAGAGTCTGCAGACATTTCACGCTTGGTAAACAAAGGACGAGAGTTTGAATCTTGATGGACAGTTCGGTTACTAACCCTCGTTTTTTTTTGTTTTTTTTTTTTAATTATTATTATTTTTAACCACTAGTGCAATGAACCCAGATTGTGTAGACACTTGTCAACAATGCAAGCCCGATAAATATTAACCTGCTGATGATTGTCAATAATCATAATCGTGTCCAGATACAATGAGATGGGGAAAAAATACACAGACGAAGGAGAGAGGAGGGAGAATAGACTTAGAAAGAAAACAGAAGGCAATGCCCAGTTCTGCTTCAGGCTCCCTCCTCGATCGCCACCTCAGTAATCAATAATCTGAACGTGAATCTGAAGTTCTAACTCAATGTGCCACGTGGCACGGCAATCAGTCCTCATCAGCGAGCTGGAGCAATGTCGACGTCAAGATAACCAGGTACGTATCCACTATCGCCCCACAGTCATGATCTCCTCCTGAATGTCGTCGAAACAGAACAGCAATACCAGTCGCGTAGCCTCGCCACGTCAACAATAATAATATACGTGGCAGCAGCCACGCCAGCGGTGGCGCGTGGCAGCTGCCACGTCAGCATGCCCAGAAGACAATTGCAAGCCAGCCACCATGCCGAGCCAGCAGAGCGTCGCCGTAGTTCGCCCTGTTGCCAGCGTAGAGCCAGCGTCGCAGCGTCGCGCTAGCGTCGTTGTCAACGCGTGAAGTCAGCATTGATGCAAGACAGAATGCGTGCAAAGCCAAGAGGTCAACGCTTATGTAGCTTTGACGCGGGGTCTGGACCCCAGGTGCTGCATCCTTCAGCCGTCGAGATCTCAATGCAAATGACGGCCCGGATTGGCCTGAAACAGAATTCCCTGTGGCCTTGATGCGGTCTGGGTACCTGCGCACAACAAGTGAATGTATCCGACCAAGGGCCTGGGCGCGGTACCTTTGAGCTGAGAGTTGACTTGGACCCTTGACTTTCCAGGGAGGTGCAAGGAAGATGAGCATTAGCGAACTTTGGCAATCAAACAGCATCATACATATGAGCCCAGATAGTCTTGACCTCGAACCACAGCAGACTGGCATCACGAGATACACCAAATAAGAACACACCAAGAGTTCAAAATTGACAATGCTGAAGTAGTCCCATCATCATCAACTACGGACCAGAGTTGATATCCTATTGGTGCTCGGCGCCCAGACTACAGGTGGCAGATCCTATCTAGCCTATACTACGAAGCAAAATGATGACATCAACAGCGTTCCCGAAGTACGAGCATATGGCGACCAATGTCGCACGCTTCAGCACCAGGTATGTCTCTCGTAACACTCACAACCCCGATCCACACCGCACAGATGCCACTAGCACCCCAAGGACCACCCTGCGCTTCACCTAGCATACAG